CCACTGACTGGGTCGTTAGTAAGACACAGAGTTCTATTTTTCATTGTTTTGGAGGCTGAGCAGTCCAACAGCAAGGTGTCCAAGGTCCTGTGTCTGGTGAGGGCGGCCCACTGATTCCAAGATGGCAGCTTGTAGCTGTTGTTCAAATCTTAGATGGTCTTTTAATTAAAAAAAAACAAAACAAAGTCAGATATCAGGGTGAAAGCTGAAAGATCAGAGAAGCAGAACAGCCAGCCACTAGTTCTTACTTCTACAAAATCCTTAGTCTAAAGAGTGAGTTCCTGTTTCCTCACACCTTGTATACCTTTCTCTGCCCTGCCATATTACTTCCTGGGATTAAAGGCGTGTGTGCTTCCCAAGCAAAGGCATGAGATCTCAAGTGCTGGGATTAGAGGTGTGTGCCACCATACCTGTCTCTGTTTCTCTCCTATGCTGGGTCAATCTCATGTAGCCCAGTGTGGCCTTGAACTCACAGAGATCTAGACAGATTTCTGCCTCCCGAGTAATAGGATTAAAGGTGTGTGCCACCATTGCCTGACCTTTATGTCTAATCTAGTGGCTGGCTCTGTCCTCTGATCCTCGGGCAAGTTTATTAGGGTACACACTATATCGCCATATGTAGCCTCATCTCCGGAGGAATAACAGCAGAGGTCAGAGGGAAGAAAGGTGAGTTCTTCCTTTTATAAGAGCTACAGTCATGCTGGCTGGCCCTCATGACCTAACTACCCAAAGGCCTAGCCTATAATACTCTTACACCTGGATTACATTGAACATGACTTTTGGAGAGAGCATGGATATTTAAACTGTAACAGTGACAAATTGATAGTCTTATCATACTCATTTTTTTTAAATTTATTTATTATGTATACAGTGTTCTACTTGCATGTATCCCTTCAGGCCAGAAGGGGGCACCAGATCTCATTACAGATGGCTGTGAGCCACGATGTGGTTGCTGGGAATTGAACTCAGGACCTCTGGAAGAACAACCGGTGCTCTTAACCTCTGAGCCATCTCTCCAGCCCCAATACTCATTTTTAATCAAAACTATGTTTCTGTATTTATGCAGGTCTCTCTAACTCGCAGATTTGCATTTTTTTAAAATTTGCCACACACATGATGAGAGTAAAATTAAAAAATAGTTTCAAACATCTTTTTTCAGCTTAAGACATAAGCAGTGGCTTGAACAAATTGTGACAGTCAATATTTCTAAGAGTCCCATGAAGTAAGCAGCTCTACACACTTCTGGAGATGATGTAAGTGGAAGATCATTTTCTCTTTAACGACTACATCCTGAAATCATTTAATTTTAGAAAAAGCCGGAAGCACCAAGATGCTTCTTTATTTCAGGACTCTTCATTCTGAGAAATTCAACTCAAGGGGCTCAAGCCAAAAAGGAGAAATTCCTTGTTCACAGGGAGTGGAAAGTCACTTCGAGCGGGTCTCGGGTGGATGCTGCAGAAACACGACACCCACTCTCTCCCCACTTCCCTCCCTCCCAGCCTCTCTCTGGGGCCTCTGGCATCTCCCACTTATTCATCTATCTGCACACACAATACTCATGATTTCAAGTGTGTTGGCCCCTGTCCCTGAGCTCCAAGAGAAACCGAAGGAGTACAAGTTAATTGCTAGGTACTAACTATGGAAAACAGTTAAAAATGAGGCATGTGAGAGGACTTTTAAAACTGATGCTAACATGAGAATTTCCACAGTCCATGTGATCCACCTGTGCTTTAGGATTATGGGTATGTTGAGTGACTGTCCTCCGAGTTAAGCAACCACTGTCTTGGGGTGTTCAACTGTCCCCCTTTGCAAAAGGATTATCCCGGCTGGGCTTGCTGACTCTTTACGCCCCACATTGTAGATGTAACCAACCGTCTTATTAAATAAGAAACACAGAACCAATGTAAAAGAGAAAGCCAAGAGATCAGAGCTCAGAGCTAAAATCTCACCCTTCCTCCTGCAGTGGTCCCAGCTTCCCGAAAGAGAGCTATTTCCTGTCTGTCCATCTTTTTATAGTATTTTGTTCTGCCTTCTCATTGGTTGTAAACCCAAACACATGACTGCCTCGTCACTGTCTGTATGTATAGCCCCCCAGGTCTTTTTTTTTTAATGTATACATATTCATAGCACATTAATTTTATTGTGAAATATACAGTTGATTACTGATTCACTTAAATTATTACATCTCTTCCAGACAGATGAAAGTGTTTCTTTGGATACATACATGAAGTATTTAATGATTTCTATATTCTCTATTAAGTATTTTAAAATTAACATCATTAAAATGTTTTTGTAAGTAAATAGGTTGCAACAACTCTCAGTTTGGTCCCAGATTTTGGCACCAAAATATGAGTTTTGCAAATCTGAGGAAAGGCGTGCTGACTACCTCAGAGTCAGAAAACACCTTGAGCTGCTTAGCACAGATCTGATAGCTGCAACTGCAATAAGACAATTCAGTCCTAGAGGGCAAGGTATCCCAGACACCTCAAGCTGCTCAAAACAACAACTCTGCCCTGAAGGTGGCTTGGACACCTGGAGCTGTTTAGTCCAACCCTGGAGGGAATATTTTCTGACTTCTCAGGAAAGACAGGCCTGGGAATGCTTCAGCAGGGAAGGGTATCCTGACTCTTCAGAAAATATCCTGACTCTTCAGGCTATACCTGGTGTGATGGGTCATGGTCTCCCTGTAGGATATAGCAATCCTGCTCCTCTCCCAGAGAGCCACTACAGCTAAGCTTTGCTCAGCACCCATTTAAGGGGGCTTCCTAATAAAGCCCTGCTTTTCTGGCCAAAGAAATTAAAAATATGTAGCAATTTCCTCTGCCTCAGGAAAAAAGTGTTACTTTTCAGCTTTTTTGCTCTGTCTACTCAGCAAGGACCTTCTGTTCAGCTCCCCCTTGCTCAATCCACTTGAGCCATCTCAGCAAGGTTCTTTCATTCAGCTCCTCCTTGCTCAATCCACTATGGGATATCTCAGCAAGGATCTTCTATTCAGCTCCCCATCGTTCAATCCAACTTGGGACATCCCAATAAAGTTCTGTGCACCGGTGAATGCAGGTCTTCACACCCAAAACACTTTTAGATTATTAATTGGGAAGGAGGAATCCAGGAGAGTAGCTGCTTCTACCAGGGTGGAGACTACAACTCTCAATGGACCAGGCAGGGCAGTTTATACAGGATGTTTTGGAGATGGAATCAACCAATCAGGTTTTTTTTTTCTGCCCAGCAATTGGCCAGTTTTATGGGCTAGGACATAGATGGTCCTGATTACAGGGACAAATTGTTTTTCTTTCACTGGCCTTTCTTGGCTTTTTGACACTACCTTTAAGGGAAGGGCATATTTATTTCACTGACTCTGATTCTAGGGACCAAGAGTGTTATTTTGGCACCAGTTTCAGAGTCAGGGCATGTTTCCTTGGTTCATTTTTCTGGCTCATGTCCAAAACATAAGTTGTGTTTCTTTCCCTGATTCTGGGCCCTAGGGACAGGATTCTATTATCCTGTTTTGTGGTTGATTAGTTTCACAAGTCAGTTGACCAGGGGCAGAGATGGCACTGATTTGAGCCAAAGTGTGTTTTTTTTAACTGGCCTTATCTGTGTCATCTTT